CCAAAATCAATTAATTTCACCTTGAAGGGCTGATCCTGGTGATTCACAAGCATGATGTTGTCCACTTTCACATCTGTATGTATAATGCCACGACCTTTCAGGGCATTAAATGCTATTAGCATTTGCTGGGTGATCGGGCGGATTTCATTAAGCGTCAGAGGCTTCCAGCTTCTGGCTTTCATCAGATCCCATAGACTCTTGTCTAGCATTTCAAAGGCCAGACAATAGCAGTTTTCACAATCAAAGGAATCTTTGAATTTCACCAAGTTGTTTTTGTCCGGGTTGAGAGCGCTGAGTACTTGCAGCATCTCCACTTCCTGATGAATGTCAGCATTGCTGAGATGGCTTTTGTGGATTTTGATGGCTACAGTCTCATTATTTAGGAGGTTCAAACACTTGGCAACTTTGCCAAAACTTCCTTCTCCGATGAAATCCTGTATAACATATTGTCCAGACTTGCAGAAGAATGTTGCACCCTTTTTTAGCTCCAGTAAAGACATTTTTGTAGTTAAATGTTTCCAGATATACTAGTAAATTGATTTAAGTTCACCCAACTTAAGAGTAACTGGTATAGAACTGGCAATACCAGTAAGATGTTTTAAATTCACCCAACCTGTAGTGCAAGTAGTTCAGTAGTGAGAACTGTTTACACTACTGTACTAAAGTGTGTGAGGATCATGATGTCAAAGACATCAAAGCCAACATTCTAATGTTTTTTGTTTAAATTCTTGGCTTTGTTGCCATGATGATTTCATACTGACAACGCTTCAGCACACAAATGTATCATTTAGAAGTATTGAAATATTTGGATAGTTAAAAATTTATTATACTAGCTCCAAATGCGATGAGGAAATACTGTCCTGTGCTATATATTCTGAATGATTATCTGAGCCGCCGCCAGAGGGAGGACTCTCCCAAAGCAAAACAGGAAGTTGAAGCGGGTATACATTTTATTTTCGCCGAGGAAGAAGTCTAACAAAAAACAATCACATATCGCAAACCCCTCCTTTTTGCGTTTTTATTTTTTTATTTTTAGCGCAAATTTCTCCATTATCGCACAGTTTTGACTAGAAGGACATCATGCCCGTCATTTGTGCGGCAATAGGGTGCAACAATAAGTTTGTCAAAGGGTCGGAAATAAGATTTTACAGGTACGTTTTCATCGGTTTAGCTGAAGCCTCGAAGGTTTTCATGCTAACTTTGAACCACATGGACTGTAAAAGGAAAAAGTGTCCTTATGTAACATTAGGCAACTTATTATAATGATAAAGTTAGTCCTTGTAGCAAATTTTTATTACGGCTCATTAAACTACAATGCGAGATTATACAGTTACATCGGATGGCATATTTCCTGGTATTGGTGTGTATTTTACCCAACCTTAACAGGTACCCTAGCTTCGTTTGGGGATATATCCAATTTCACAACACAATGTGCACTGAGCAAATATAGATAGGGATTTTAGACGGGGTTTAAAGATTTAATAGGGGAGGAAAGTCTTTGTGAGTAGCTGTGATGTGCAAATGAAACAATGAACCAGTTTTGAACCACTTCATCAACTATATTGAAAATGGGTTCATTCATTCAAAGCTTCGTTTCAGTGACATCTAGTGGTGAAATAGGAGACAGCAAAACAATGTCTTAATAATGTGATGAGTGTAACTAGGGCTTGTGTGAATGATGTAAAGACTGATTGATTAGTCGGTCTGTTGATTCTATAAACGTGCGTAGTGTAGTAGTTGGGGGAAGGTGCGCTTGTGGAAACAGGATGTGCTAAGATGGTAGGGTGCGCTTGTGTAACTACGGCAGGGTGTGATTATGCACGTTGGATGGAGATGTAAAGATTTTTATTGATGTAGCAGTTCAAGTTTGGAGTTTGGAGCTTGTATCGGAGCATCGGTGTCAGTCGGCCATCACTAGTGAGTAGCAGGCTTTCCCATAGTTTAGTTCCAGTCAGATAAAGTGTATCAAGTGACAATGGGGGAAAATACTTATTGCACATAAGTTATTGCAAAGATGGCAGAATTTACTAACAAAGATCTTAGAGGCAAGAAGGAGGTGACACAATAAATCAGCAACAAAACTGCACTTGTACATTCAGCTCTTTAACTTGTTTTTGATGGTAATGTCTTGATAAAAATATACAGCATCTTACTACTGTAAAAAAAATTTAATTAAATAAAAAAAGACATTTGTTATGAAGGTGCGCTTGTGGAAACAGGATGTGATAAGATGGTAGGGTGTGATTATGTACGTTGGATGGAGATGCAAAGATTTTTATTGAGAAACTAAGCAGTATCGACAGGTTTGAGCCAGTCACGTGATTCATTCAGGAGACTGAGGCAGTTCCTGTTTCCGACGTTATCGATCACGTGTCTTTTTCCACACCAACGCAAGCTTGGAAGCAGCAGTTCAAGGAAAATGCCGCTTCGATTTTGAATCTTGAATTGGAGCATCTGTGTCTCGCTATTTTGTTGTAAGAAGTCCTGATTCACATTTATAGCTGTTGCATTAATAAGAAACAGAAGCGCATGTTAAATCCGAGTATTGCTAACCAGCTAGCGTGCTAACATGACTAAGTTGCTGTTAACGTACTGTAGTTGTGAATAGAAACTGTTACTAGTAGCCACGCATGTCACTGCAGTCGCATAAACGGATTAAGTTCTTTTAAGGTTGAGTTTTTCCCTAGTGAGTATGGTAACTGAGAGCTGCCACGTGTTGTGCACATGCTAACGTTAACCCGCGTAGCCCCGTAGAAAATTGCATAAAGCCATGATGGTCCATGATGTGTAACTTTGCATGTCCTTAAGTTCTGCAACTGAAGTGAGTGTGGTGACATGGATTCAGTAATACACAATTTAAAATACTTTGGCTATCCAAGACCTAGTCCTAGTACATATTTTATAACTTAAGGGTTTTTAGAAAACCAGTGGGGTCGTGACAGTGATGAGTTGCACTAATTGTCGGGTTGCTGATTGCAGTGGCACAGCTGACCTGTCCTGACAGCCTGTGGTGACACCTAATGTGCACAGGGGCCATCTGAGTCACTCACCCCACCTGACATGAATACAGAGGATTTTCTCTTGTCATTTCATTGCCTACAATTCTGTTTTGGTTGTGCTCTCCCTTTTCCAGCCTAAAGATGAGGACGTGGTTGGGCAGGATATTTGAGCCATCCTGAAATGTCAAAAGTACCCTGCCATTAAAAAGATTTCATTCCTAATGGGTGGAACAAGGTCTACGGACTCGAACCTGAGAGCTGGTGAGCATGAATAGGCCAGTTCAACTTTTGCTTTTATTCAGGGCAAATTTTTCCCCTTCCTGATTTGCCCTCTTTTGCAGATTGCCTTATTTATAAAGTTGGAACTCAAAGCTTTAAACTCGTACCACTGGTCTGAATTTTAAAGACTTTCCTACTGATTGATGCTTGGATAGATTCTTGTTTTTATAAAACAAAATTTGGCTCTTTATTATAAAAAAAAACTGGTGACTATCCTGAACCATTGTATTTATTTTGTGTGATCACAGCAGCTGTGGCCTCGTGATAGAATTTGACATGAATATGTACGATGTAATTTTGTCCTCAACTGTGAGAGGAGTAGGCGGATTCAGCCAGGGGGAACTACTGCCCTTAAACAAAGGAGAACATGGCCAAAGCCTCACCTTTCCAAGTCTAGTCCAACAGTTATTCACTTACTTGAGCTCAACAAACCATATATTGAGAGCATTGGGTACAATATTTCAGGCATTCGAGTCATTCAAGTAAAGCTGCTCACTGCACATGTACATTAAAAGGTAAGGCCTCTGCTCTGGGCTCCACAGAATACAAGCATTAAAGTTCTAAAATGCAAAAAATTACATGACAAATGTAGAAAATTGGTTGAACCAAGTGGAGTAACAGTCAAATGGTAGACAGGAGTACATTTATAAGTGTATATAGTAGATTGTTGCATAATGTGGCTAAATTATGAGAAAGTATTAGAAGACAAAGCAGCCTACAGGAAGTGGCTGGTCTGGTGTCATGGTGCCCTCAACACGGACAAGACAAAGGAGATAGTGGGCATGAGGAAGGAGAGGAGATCTCATCAGCCGGTCAGATCAGAGGTCGATCAAGATTCATAGATAGGTTTCTTATAAAAGAGAAAAGATCAGAAAAAAATGTAGCCAATAAATTGACACAGCTGGTTAAGAAGACCCAACAGTGGTTGTACTTCCTGAGGAGGCTGAGGAAGTTTGGCATGTCGCCTAGGATCCTCAGCAACTTCTACAGCTGCATCGTTGAGAGCATCTTGGCCAGCTGCATCACCGTCTAGTATGGCAGCACTACTGCTATGGACTGCAAGCACCTGCAGAGAGTGGTAAAGACTGCGGAGAAGATCACCAGGACTCCACTGCCCTCTTTGCAGAACATCTACCACTGCAGAGTCCCCAGGAAAGCGGCCTCCATCCTCATTGACCACACCCACCCCCAGCACGAACTGTTCACACCTCTACCCTCTGGCCAGAGGCACAGGAGTGCGAAATGCAGGACTTCTAGACTGAAAAACTCTTTCTTTCCAACTGCAATCAGACTCCTAAACAGTTGACAGGAGTATACAATCAGGACTTCATGTAATACCATATGTACAGTTTACATTTCAAGTTTGCACATGCATAATTGCACACCCAGTGCCCCCTATTGCACATACAGCTCTGATATATTCTCTCTTTATTATATTCTTTATATTTTTTTGATTACATTTGTTTCCACTTGTTGTTTTTAAGTGCCTTTAGATTTTTGTGTACTATTTGTCTACCTTATATTTCACCTTGTATTGTTCGGCATTTACTGTGGACAGTAAAGTAAGAATTTTATTGTACAGGGAAACACATTTCCTCACTGTGCACATGGCAATAAACACTTTGAGTCTTGAGTCTTTTGAGTTTAGACAAACCTCAGTTCTTTTTCTCATTTTCTGCATAGATTCATAAGGATGAAACAAAGCACATGAAATGATATAGTAAACAAAGCAAAATGTTACAAGTTTAGATTCTTTCGGTTTTTTTGTGCAATTCGACCATGAAGGTCCGATTCACTTAACTTCCTTTTAATTTGATAAATGGCAAACAATGGAACTTGTAATGTAGAAATCACCAGCTGTTTTATGGTTTCCTTGATGAATACTATTCTGATTATTCTCTTTTGAATGTTATCTTACACAGGTTTCATTTAGTCAACATGGAAGATGGCATTTTTAACCCTGAATAGAACTGAATAAATGAGGGGGAAAGTGCAGATTCACTACTGATCTGTACTTGTTTTGGCTAAAGAAAATGTTTGAGTTTAAATAACTGTACAACCTAGTCTTTAAGTAATGTAAAATGTCTCTGTTTCCACTAAGTCTTGTCAGTATGTTGCTCTGAAGAAAGACTCATCTGTCTTGTCTCTACTTCAGTGGGCAGATGGATGAAGCATCGGACCAGAACAGCATGTCAAAAGTGGACAACGTGAACAGCACTGCAGCAGCACGTCATCCACAGCAGGAACAGTGATGAGCACTGTGTACCCTTGGGAGGCATTTTGAATCTCGAGCTGCATTGTGAGCTTATTACTGGTGAGCGACACTGAAGTCTAGTTTTGCTACATCTGTCTGCAAATAAGATTTGTCTTTATGGTCCTCATAAAAACACAGTCCAAAAATGTATTGTAGAAAATATGTAAAAACACTGATATATGTTTCTGACAGTACTTGTCATAGGATCCATATGTTCAGTGATCATTTGAGTCAACGCAGCATGTGTATATCTCAGTAATTGCTTTTACAGAGGCGGTTTTGCAGAAGTAATGGGAGTTGGTGGACGGTGTCTGTGGATTCCTCTGAGGGGATTACAGTTTTATGCCTCGGTGCCGGTGATAACAGTGACTCAAGGCATTATGTTTTTGGCTTGTCTGTTCGTCCGGCCCGTTCTCATGAACGCAGTATCTCGGGAATGCCTTGAGGGGAATTCTTTAAATTTAGCACAAATGTCCACTTGAGTTCAAGGAGGAACTGGTTAGCTTTTGTTGGTCAAGATCAGTGACCTCACATTTATCCCATTCACATGAATTTGACTAGTTGTCCTTAAAGCACAAAGCAGTTATTCAAGTTTCTGATTGTCTTGCGTCCTCAGAGGTCACAGCTCATTGTAAATATTCTCATGTTGTCATTTTTTTAAATAAACTCAGCCAGTAGTAGATCTAAAGCTTGACAGTCAGTACAACGCAATATTGCAGATGCAGTTACGGAAACTGGGATGTGCTCTTTGTGTGCATTAGGTCAAAATTGCACCTGAGGGGTACTGGCAGTGTGTCTGCCATGGGTGACTGGCATTTGATCAACACCAAGAACAATATGCAGTATGATTTTTTAACCACCAGGTGGCAATTGAACATCAGTGTTCCTCCAGCCTGTAGACAGGCATGTGGCTTGGTATTTTCAATCACAGGTGTGTAATAAACCAATCTATTTCACTGGATTTATTCTGTTACAGAAACAGGAGTGCCTGAAGGCTCCACACAAACACACAAGCTGCTTGGAGGAAACCTTTTAGAGTAAAGCTACAACTCTGCCCAAAACCTCTGTCTGGCAGGCACAAAAATCTTTTGGAATGAATATCAATAAAGAGTACTCAACACAAATATTGTTTTTTTTTTTTTTCATGAACAGTGTATTAAACACTTGGATCAGAGCATTCTTACCTAGACTGAAGTACTGCTCTAGCATAGGTTACACACATTTTAAGCCAAGAATCTCCTTTAGTACTTAGGATGCTTGGACTTTCAGTGGATGCAAAAGTGTGCAGATAGGTATGATCTAATGCACCCACACAGGTGCTTCTGAAAAATATTGGTTTGATCTTAATCTGTAACATGATACTGCAGCTGTTATAACACTTTGAATCAGTTCATACTTCAACAGCATAAAATGCAACTTTAGAAAAATCAAAAACAGCATCAGTATTCTATGCAGTTAAATTATCACTTAAGAATAAAAATGATCATGTTTCTAACTGTACCTAGAGATAAATTGAGGACATAATGGTGCACGTACCTTCTCTATGGCAGTGCCACACGCCTGTTCAGGAGGCATATAACTCAGTTATAAGTTGCTTGTGTGACAGTCGGCTGAACTCGAGATGTATTTCCCAGCTGATCCGCAGTTAATTCAAGGTTTAGTTTATATACCTTTTGTAGGCAGTCACTACTGATGTTGAACTATACTGAATGGAGACCGTTTAAAAGCTTAAGCTCTGATTTTATTGTGTGGATACATGAATCCATCCCTTTGACCTCTGTGGTCTGAGTGCTCTGTGAGAGCACACCTGTTGATCTGTATGCACATTCTCTCCCCCAAATTGGGGATGAAAGATGTCATTGTGGTGTTAAAAATTTAAATGCCTGCAGTATAGATGTAATTTTTAATCTTCTTAACTGCAGGGAACTTTGATTAATTATATTGCAACTTTACCACATTTTGCGACGATGGTTTTGTACTAAAGTGAAAGTCTGGACTGAAGGGCATTCAGTGACTCCAGTTGATGTAGGGCAAGAAACAAATCAATTGTTCATCTTGTTAATTGTGACTTGACATTAAATTTCTTTTCAGCACAGTGCCTCAAAGGTTACGTTGTCTTGTTTATGGCAGACCACTGTCATTAATTTTAGAGATCACGGAGCACCGCAGGAGTCATTTGTAGTACTTGATTACCATCCAGTGTCAGTCTTTTTTTTTCTTTTCCTTTTTTATTTTTATTTTATTTCTTTCCTCCTTTTCGGGTAACCCAGGCCCGTCAATATCAGGCAAGCTGTCAGATTCTGTTACAGAGCTTTGCTCCTCTTGGGCACTTGGACTGTAGCTTGACATCACTGCTATACCAACCAGAGAGCAGCAGGCTGAACACTGTTCATAGGAGGAGGAGGAGGCTATGTTGGTGGTGAGATGTTTTGTTAAAAGTTTTTTTTTTTCTTCTTTTCTCAGTGTTCTTGTACAGAGTGAAATTTGGGCTGTGATGCATAGTCTGTTTGCTGAGGTGTTATCTTTCAGTCCTGTGTTCCTCCTGGCTGTCAGCCGATGTCTCTTCCCGCCTCCTGCTCTTTACTCCTCTTCCTTTCTGCTGCTGTTGTGACAGCTGCTCTCATTCACTTCACTGTGTGTTTGATTCGATGGCAGGACCAAACTGATTAGCTTCAGTTTTCATCTTTTTCAGATCTGCTATGGTTCAGGATGAGACTCTGGGATGCTTTGCAAAATAAGTGGACTGCAGTCATTAAAAATTGTAGTACAGACTGCAACAAATACTAGTATTGAATTTTAAAGAAATGATTGATTTTCTTTAGTATCGAGGTCAGAATACTGTCTATTATTTTCTTGTCCATTTAATGTTAATTTACCTGTGTTGTTTGAGTGAGTCTGAAAGAAACTTGTATAAAGCAGAAAAAGAGCAACAAAGCATGCAAAGTGACAAGTGCTTTTTTTAGACGTAAAAATGTTGACAGTTTTCTCTGTTGCCTAAGTGATGAAGCAGCTACTTTGTTCAGCATTAGTAAGAGGGAATTATTTACCATGTTGGAGGGGTGTCTTTTCACGAGGTCAGGTGAAGAATGGAAAGAGGAAGAACAAGGAAACAAAAAGGGGATAGCTTGTCATGTTGAATATGGAATCTGGATATGCAACATAACTAGTAACTTCAGCCAGCAGGTACGTATGGTGTGGTTACCCGCTAACATGTAGTGGAAGAAAAGTATAAAGTCAAATTTGGGGTACCGTTTGTCCTCTTTAAAGTATAGTGCCTGAATAAATGCTATCTCCTGATTTACTGGAGATGAAAATGTTGGATCAAGAAATGAGTTTTTCAAACAGCTTGTTGCAGCAATTTTCTAATTCTGAACCAATTACACCTGACATTTGTGGCTGTGATGGACTGTGGGACTATGGGTTTCAGAGGTGGGGGATGCAGTACAGTAATTCAAACATCTAGTTTTATGTGTACGTTTTCATGGTAATACAGTGTTTATTTCCACTGAGGTTGTGCCGGTTTTTTTTCCCCCCAGCGTTTTAAAACCAAATTTATTATACAATATTTGGCTCTGTAATGGACATTCCTCATGGTGAATGTAAAACCTTTCTTCATCTAAAGGCCATAAAATAACCAATTCCAGCTTGTGTTTATGGGGATTCTTGTACTTGCTACATAGTGAGGACCAGAACCAGTTTTTAACCAACAGAGTAAGGACATTTCTGCAAAGTGAGGGCATTTTAGCCAGTCATCACAACTTCAGAGGGCTTTTTGAGAGTTGAGACTCAGTTTTAGGGTTTGGGTTGGTTAGGGTAGATGTTCTGATGGTTTAAGTGAGGGGCTATGGAATGAATGCATTATGCCAGTGTTTTCACAAATATAGAAAGACAAGTATATGTTAACGTTATGCACCAGGTTTATGCACACCAGACAGATAATGATGAATAACAGTGGCTGGATTTTTAATTTAGAAATGTATTTCAGCATGCTGTGACCACTAGAAATAGACTTTTTACCAGGAACTGGTAACTGCCAAGCTTGCTAGCAGTGTACATTAAAAAAACACAGTACCATGGATTAAATATTGCAACTGACTTGACTTCAGAACACACCACAGGGCTTTTGCATTGTAACTTTTAATGTACCATGTGTGAAATTTCATAAACCTACAATTGCATTAATGTAAAAGGTAGCTTCCTCCTTGTTATCCTAAATGTTAAATGTTTTTTAATATATTGGTCAACAGCACAAAATCACATGTAAAAGTAGGTTGAACTTGTCCTTCAGTCATATTTCTGCCATTGAAAAATGAGCTGAATTCCATGTTTGCAGTTTTGTCCATATCGCCACGGAATCTGTCAGCTGTGTAGCTATGTAGATGTTCACACTTGAGCTTTTTTCTTATATTATTTATATTGGCTGGAGGTGGAGCTATCTCGCTTAATGTTTTCATTAAATATCACCTTTGAATGAGATTTACCAAATAGGAAAAAAAAAAATCCATACTGTACTTGCTTTCACACCAGCCTACAGAGGAGGATTCTTTCTGCTGTCTGTCATCTCATTTCCCTCTCCTGACTGACAGGAGGGCAGAGAGCACTCATGGTAAAAGCCAGCTCACTGTTCTACTCATAGTTCCTGTTAATGAAGAGCTTTGCAGAAGCAGAGTAATAAGTCCTAGCTGGTTCTAGGCCACAGACCTTTGAACATGTTAAGTGTTTCAGACTTGACTTGTTAGGCATAACCTTTATTGCCAAATATTGTCAAAAATACAACGAATATGATTCCAGCCCAAGGGCCCCTGATGTGCACAATAGAAAAACAGAATAAAACCAAAAAAAGTTAAAAAGACAGATATACACACGCCCTTATATATACAAGTTAAAAGAGCTACTGTGGCTAATGTACATCTGTACAGTTTTGCACAGTGATGTATACAGTGTCCTACATACCCTTAAACATAGGCTAACTGTTCCTGAGAGTGATGACTCGGGGGAAGAAACTGTCCTTGTCTGGTTGTTTTGGCGTACAGTGACCTGTAGCACCGTCCAGAGGGGAGGAGATCAAAATGTTTGTGTCCACGGTGTGAGGGACTTCTCTGCCCTCCTTTTGACTTGTGAGGTGTAAAGGTTCTCCATGGAGGGCAGGATGGCACTGATGATTCTTTCTGCAGACTTAACTGTCTGCTGGAATCTGTTCCAGTCCTGTTTGGTTGCTGAGCCAAACCAGACAGTGATGGATGAGCAGAGAACAGACTTCTCTGTAAAACTGCATCAGCAGCTTCTGGGGTAGGATGAACTTCCTGAGCTGAGGCAGGAAGTACATCCTCTGCTGTGCCTTTTTAATGATGCCACTGATGTTGGTTGTCCACTTCAAGTCCCGAGAGATTGTGGAGCCCAGGAACTTGGAGGACTCCATGAATGAAACAGTGCTGCTGAGTATAGTGAGCTCCTCCTAAAATCCACTATCACTTCTACTGTTTTCAGCGTATTCAGTTCCACGTTACGACCACACCACAGGGCCAGCTGTTCAACCTCCCATCTGTAAGCCAACTCGTCGCCGTCTTGGATGAGGTTGATGACTGATCTGCATTTTTACACAGACTTGCTGGTTAGCATGTGTTTGTCTCAATTTGCCCCAGTCACATTGAATTCACATCAAATCATAGCTTTGCACTGACTTCATAGGCAACCACACCTCTAAAAGTGACTTTGCATTATGCTTGAACAAGCACTCATGAGAACTGTGACCATATCAGTTTTTCAAGATACTCTGTGGGTATCTTGAAGAAGTTGCTACAGTTCTGTGGGTTTAGTCTGCCTGTATCATCATCTCCTTGTAATCCCAGGCTGCCTCCCAGGTGGTGAGATCTGGGTTTATGACAGATTGAAATGGCTGATGACTTTAAATACTCTAAATCCCAGTCTCAGCTGTTATTGCTACAGAGAAGTCAGTCAGAAACATAAATCAGAACTGCAAAACTTGCTGTTGCAGTTTTGCAGTGTCTGAAATCATCGGGCAGTGATCCCAAATCTAAACGTATTTAAACGGCAGAATGTTTTATCGGGTTACTACAAAGTCTAAACTTTTGCTTCAGTACGTTATTATTGGCACATACAAAGATAAGTAGTATTTGATCTTAGTTATCAGATGTTTCTAATCATAATGCTCGTTATGATTTTGAAACTTTTCCATTTATGATTTTAATGTAAAGCTTTTCATTTTTGATTTTTTTTTTTTTTTTTTTTTTATCAAACAACCAAATATTTTTAACCCAGTAGCTCATCTTTAGCACCACTGACACAACCAGGAAGTGGAAAACCGGTAATCTGGAGACAGTTTATAATAATCAGGAACAGCTGATATTCTGCCCGCCTAATAAAAGCTGCATAGTCGTATGTAGCTTCATGCCACTCTGTTCACAAAACACTAGGGGGCACAGCGATAAAGAGCATGTGCTTATTTCACCTTAGGTAAATTCAACTAAAATAGGCTGGTTCAATAGCCTCAATTATGGTTTAAAGATGTTCAGTTTTTCAAATAAAGCTTATGTCTTTTGGCAAAGCATGTTTGCAGCACCTTTCTGCTCTGAAGTCGTGTCATGCTAGTTGCATGTGTACAGTCACCATACATCATTACTTCTGTGTTCTGTGTGGACAGGTGATGGAGCATTCAGGTGGTACAATATTACAGGTTTGCTGTCTGAATAATATAGTTTTCTACAGTTTAAAACTGTAATTATCTGTTTAAGGCTCATAACTGTCATTATCACTCCTTCGCAGCCAGACTTGTTTAATGTGATGATGTGATGATGATGATAATGTCTACTTTTGTATGAAATTTCTGGGTCTGTGCCTCCCCACCCACCAGTCTGCCCACTTGACCTACAACTAAAAGGTTTCTCTGGGCATGAGTAGAATATTTAGAGATCTTATGGCTTGTAGCTGCAAACCAGTGCCTCAATAGACAAGATGAAGGGATGCAGGAGTTTGGAGGATCTGGGGGATTTGAGCATTTTTAGGAAATGTACAGAAGTAGTGGGTTAACGTGTAACTCAAGGGGCATGCGAGTGCATTGCATACCTGGAATATACACTGTATTGCCAAAAGTATTCACTCACCCATACAAATCATTGAATTCAGGTGTTCCATCTACTTCCATGGTTATAGGTGTATATAATCAAGCACCTAGGCATGCAGAGCACTTCTACAAACATTTGTGAAAGAATAGGTCGCTAGCATGGTACCGTGATAGGATGCCACCTGTCCAATAAGTCCAGTTGTGAAATTTCCTTGCTACTAAACATTCCACAGTCAACCGTTAGTGGTATTATAACAAAGTGGAAGCAATTGGGAACGACGACTCAGCCACATAAAATCACAGAGTGGGGTCAGTGGATGCTGAGATGCATTGTGCACAGAGGTTGCCAACCTTCTGTAGAGTCAGTAGCAGACCTCGTGGGGTCAGTGGGGCCTTCAGATTAGCTCAAGAACAGTGTGTAGAGAGCTTCATGGAATGGGGTTCCATGGTCGAGCAGCTGCATCCAAGCCTTACATCACCAAGTGCAATGCAAAGCGTCAGATGCAGTGGTGTAAAGCCAACATCATATTAAACCCTATGGATTAAAAATCGGTTGTTACTCAAGTTCATTTGCATGTGAAGGCAGGCGAGCGAATACTTTTGGCAGTATAGTATATGAAGGTGGTAGTTTGTTCAGGGACCTGTGACATTTGGATATTTCCACTAAATACACAGGCGATGAATAGTTTAAGTGGCATAATATTGCACAATTTTCCCAGTGGAGTCCCTGAGCAGTTTAGGGCTTGTTGGTATGGAGCATTCCCAGAGTTTGAGGGTAATTTAGCGGATCTGTTAAATCAGAGCATTACCAGCAAATAAACTGATCCAGTGGGTAGCTGAGCAGGACTGGGAAATTGGAGTGTTCCCAGCGAATACAAAAAGCCAGGCCAGCTTTGCCTGTTTACAAAGCTTAAAGCTTAAATAATGATTGACATAAAACAAGTGATGGTGATCAGCAACACTGGCAAGCTCTAACTGATAATTACACTGTGCAAACTGCCAACAGAGTTCACATTTAACTTGTTTCTACAGCTGATGAAGTTGCAGTGAAAGGTGACCCTTGCTCACACAAACTTTAGAATGGTAGGATTTTTCACTGTGTTTTGGGGAAAGGATGGCTTTAAGCCCGACTTTGAGGCCATGTGACTCAGTGACATGATACTGTTGTGCAGTGTGGTGGGTGGCTGACCTGTGCTAAGATACAGCACCAGTCAGATAAGTAAGACGCACTCTGTGGTCAGTTCAGTGTGTCCAGAGTAGTACTGCATGCATTACAGATGTCGCTGGGAGCAGAAGAAGAAAGCAGCTAAATCACTCAGCATTGTCAATGGAGACTTACAGTAGATGCTGAATAGATGTGAGCTTCAGTCAGATGGAGGTTGACATTAACCTTCCCTGCTGTCTCCTCTGTCCTTAGAGGTCCCTCCATGATGGATGACCTCTCACTCGCACACACATTACACTATAAACAGATTAGGAGGCCAGTAATGGAAACTCAGGAACTTGGTCCCATAATCTGCTTGATACCTTCTGCTCTGATCAATCTTGGGGTGCCTCGGAGGGAGTTGTGAAATGTCATTGGCTGTGGTTTGAGAGGTGAGGTTAGAGGTATTCAGCTTCAGATTTCGGATTCATTTGTCTAACTTGTTGGGTGCATATTCATATTGTGCGCTGGCTTGGGCTGTTGAGAGGAGCCATTAGTTATTATCTGCGAAAGGTGTTGCATATATGATTGATTTGGTGCTGCAGCAGAGATTGTGCTGGTGCATTATACCATCATTACAGCTTCAGGCATGACCCAAATTTCCTCTGCCCCTCTTGACCTGCCCTCCTACTCCTCCTCCTCCTACTGCTGCATCTGAATCCAGGTGGAGCGACAGTATGGTGTGACCGCAGCTTATTATCAGCCTCAGCTGCTCTGTGAGACCAGGTTAGAGGGAGAGAAGAAAAATAGGGAAATTGAGACAAACAAGCAGATTTACATAACACAGCACAGCATTATATCAAATGCAGTGTTTCTACCAACATCACAGTTAAATGGAATACTTTTAAAATAACTAGTGACAAATCATACAGGAAGGTTTCAATTGGCACATCATTCAGAGGGATATTACTAGGATTTTTTTTCAAAATGACTGCTGCCAGTCAAGATTCTGTACTGTGACTGTTGTGCTTATACCTTCAGTGCAGTGCATTGCACACGTTGGTCACCTCTATGTCAGTTCTCAGCTATAATGTATTGGAAGGATATTACTCACAAATGGGTGACAAAAACAAACGGTAGGTGTTTTAAGATGTTGATCCACCACAGTGCTCCTTGTCATAGAGTCTATGGAACTCTACTTATCCCATCATTTGGTGCTTTAATGGTGGGTTGTGGAGAGCACTGTCTCCCGTAAGTGTTCAACTGGTTTGAGATCTGGTGACTGTGCAGACCATAGCATGTGACTCACATGGTGTGAGTCACACATCAAGGGACATCTGTGTGGAAGTGTCTGCATTTGTCAGCCCATCCCCATCTCAGATGATCCCATTTATGAGTTTTCAAGGTTATTTTGAAGGGAAAGTCATGTTATTGTCAGGAATTCTCTGACCATTACAGACCACCTCTTGTTCTCCTCATCCCCAGTCACTGCTCTGGTCACACCTCTGTTCTGACACATGCCAGGATACCAGGCAAGGACACACTGTGTCATATTGTCAAGTCTCTATGCTGCCTAATGTTGGACTGCAATCCTGTTGTGATGCTTATCTGACATCCCAACAGGGTATGTGGGTCTATTTCTTTCTCTGACTCACTGCTCTGCATTCTGTCCTTAACCATTTTTTTGTCCTTACTGTTTCAAGGCGAGTCCTGTCACAAATGGCAGCAGCGGGAGCCCTGAACTCATTCTGGTCGCCATCTCACAACCCTTTCATGCCAGACTGGTGACCTGGGAAACATCCAGCCGGGTACGGTAAGTCAAACATGGTAGAGAAACTCTGGTCAAGACAAGACCTGAGGAAAAACTTTGCTCTACTTGAGGTGTAGGTTAATTGTTATAGGTTGGCAAGTTGTACAGATTTCGCTTTAAAATTCTGTCCCTTATTTTTGGTGGTAAGCACTTGTTTTTGTGATGGTATTGCACTGTACTTCCAGGACCTCCAGATAACATTAGTGTTATCTGTCACCTGACAGTGTTGTACCGGACTACATTATATAGAGGCATGTCTATATTTTTGTCCTCCCCATCTACATACATGAGAGGGTCAGAATATTAGGAACACCTCTGAATATAATGTAGTCCGGTACAACACCACCTTTAACTATGACCACAATAATAAACATATAATTAAATGTATACATTTATGACAATTTCACCAAAAACAAACATTTTGAGCTTCATAAACACAGATGTGTTCAAAAACAGTCAACACGGAAGTGTTGCATTGAATTGCATACAATTGGACAGATGTACCTAAAGTGGCCGGTGATTGTATTATTTGTAACCTAGGGAATGTGTTAGTAAACAGTGACGTATTGACATATCCAGCAAATATGGAATAATGTTGGTATCCATTTAGAGTTTCTGAATATCTGGTGAATATAAGTCTGTGGGCTGTAAAATCAACATGAGCTAAAAGATGGTGAAACTGCAGAGCAGCCATCTGATATTTGGTACAACGCAGCTTCAACTCTTTGGACTTGGGCCTAAAACATGGCACACAGAGTAAATGATGAGAATCTCAGCCAGATATCATACATGACCAGACATGGTGATTGAGGGGAGAAATTTTTATTTGGGCTACTCTTTGGTACATTATTGCAGAGCCTTTAAACCTGATCAGCTAATAGTGAACCTATGTTTAGGAAAAGTCATGGACTGGGAAAATCAAAATAGATTGGTTGCATTATAAATCAGAAACCGGTCTTTGTGACACCATTAGTCTCAGTGCATTAGTTTATCAGGTTAAATAACTACTCAGCCAAAATGCAATCAAATGCAATACATATTTATATTTTTCAGTGTAACTGAAGGACATGAGTAGACAGCCCTGCTGTTTTTGATGGTGTAAGGTAGCAGGAACTTGCAGGGTATGAGCCTCAGTGTGAATTTACTCCCAGATGGGATATTAATATTCCCCATGTGTGTGAGCATGAAATGGATGTTTTACAAAAGATTTCATTTTAGATTCAATCTCTTGGTTCAGCTGCTTTCCTTCATGAAGTTTGCAGGTGCAGCAAGTGAGTGATTCAAAAGCAGTCATGTCAAATTGATGATGTATATGGTTTCTCTTCTTAAATCTTATTTAAAGTCCTGTGGGGACCCTCCAGCCCTCTCTCTGTTCTTCAGCTCACCACATTCAAATTAATAATCACTTCATAGTGAGCATTATCTTTCTGATTCACCTGCGTTTCTAATATGACACCTTCACGGGGCCGCTCTGCTTCACATAAAGCACAGTAGGAAAGTGCACATCACTTTTTTTTTAACAAAAGCAGTGGTTTGAGGACAGAAGTCGAATCAAATTCAAGTATTGTATCTGCTTTTCTGAAGGTATCAGTGGTGAGGCTCTTTGTTTTTTGTTTTTTTTTCTCCACACATGCAGAAATCTCCTTAGACAGCAGAGGAAAAGATGGAGCAAGTACTGTGTTTAGACAAAGGAAAAGGTTTGGAGGAATTTTCTCTGAAAACATCTATTGTGAGAGTCTAAGAAGGGTCATTACAGCTCTAGGTGGATATATTGTTACTTCTGCTGACCATATAGTGGGGCTGATAAGTTACAGAATGGCATAGTATAAAGTCTGCAACTCCATTGTTCAGCTTAGAGATGGGGTGGGGGGCGTTCCTTCACCCTTGGTTGGGAATACAGAGCAGCCTTTTGGGGGTGGGGGGGTGTGTACACCAGGTAACTTTTTAATGTCCACAGAAAGAGGGAGAGCGAGATCCTTCCCCTGGCCATGTAGCTGCAACATTAAAGTGAATGATGACTTTAAGCAGTATATTTGATCCCATCTGTGCTGAGCTTGGCAGCGTGATGTGCTCGGATGCTGCTACCCTGACTGTCAATGAGAAGCTCCAGCTTGAGATGCCAGGCCCTCAAAGACTTGAAGTGCACTGAGAGAGAGAGAGAGAGAGATAAGGTAGAGATATACAGCAAGAAGAGATGTTTACAGTGTACTCGGATGTAATGTAGAGAATTGTATGTCTTCTCTCAGATTGAAGATTCAATAATTTGTTGCCACTTCATATAAACAAGCATTTACAACCGTAAGACATAAATGGCATGGCATTACATAATTCAGATATAAGGCCAGTTAATGTTTTATCATTAGAGGAAGGGCCTCCCCTCTGTTTTGCCATTGACAAAGTTAAGTACACTACAGCCAAAATATTGACCTCCCCATATGGGCACCCATATGTAATTGTTGAGCTGAAGCTGTTTCTCACTAAGTGGAAAAGGCTGTTTCTTTGTGAGGCTGATTTGTGCACAAGTGTGTGTTAAAATAGACAGGGGCTGTTGCCACAAAGTTGGAACCATTCAGTTATCTAAAATATCACACAGCCCCACTGTCTGTCTCTCCAGAAAGCCAGAATTTTATCACATCGCCTCCCTGGATCAGCACATATTGGTTATTAACAAACTACAGGAAACTTTAATTGCAAATTCACACTCCCACAGTCTGGTTTCAGACCGATATGTTCAAGCAGTTTGACTCGACCGGATGATGAAAGTGAATATCTGGCCACAGCATTTATTTTTATTAGTTAGAAAAATATAAATAGACAGCAAGCAGTGAGCAAATAAGCAGTGGAGTTTACCCCTAGGGATTGTTGGTCAGACAAGATTTGTAAAATAGGTAAAGACTGTAAAACATTGTCGCTTTGTAGATACTAAAATCCCACCTTTTACATTTCCCACACATTTTAGCTGATATGTGGATCCCTTTTTATAAAGTGAGTGAATGTTAAAGGAAATATTAACCCTGGCTTCCACTTTGCTGCTCAGTGAAAAGAGATAGATGAATGTCACTTCCCCTTTGTACATCTCTGGTTAAATTTGCCAGTCCAGCTTTACAGTGAAATAAATTATGAAAGAAAGTGAACCCTCTGTTTCATAATCTATAAAAGTAGGCTGACTGGAAAGTTGTAATTGTGAGTTTTAGATGCTTAGAGGCATAAATTTACATACCCGGCCTTTTAGTGTTACCATGTGCATAAAATAGTTTGTCAGCCTTTTGCAGTTCTTGACTTTGTGAGAGGTGTAAGAATCCGTTTTGTTTTACTTTTGTTAATAAATTGCAGTCAGACAGTACAGAACCTGATGTCTCTGTAATTGTCAACACACACAGTGCTGCATGAAAGAGCAACACTTGCGTTAACACAATTAACTGTACAAAAGAAATGAACTGTGGGAGTTCAGCGCTGTTTGCATTGTCTTTTCTTTCTTGCCCGTTCAATTAATACATGCAGAAGAGACTCTGCTGTGAAATAGCAAATTGCCCTGATTTTCCCTCACAGGTGTGCAGTGAACTGGAATAATCCACTGACAGCAGGTTCATTAACAGTAATGAAATAATTGCTCTGGTAGAAATTTGTGCATAAATGTTTTGAGTGGAAAGCTATGAATGCAGAAACTTAATACTTGAAGACTTGGTGTCTAGCTGAATGAAACTGTAAAGAAAGTAGTGAACTTTCACTATTGTCAGCACTGACTTTATTTTAAGAAGAAGAAATGTTCCTGGCTTAAACAGCTGACACTAACACCACTTGTGTGCTGTATTTATGTAATGTGGTCATCTTTGAGCACCTGCGGTTGTAGTGTGAAGACATGAAACGCATACATCCGCTGAGGCCACTAACTGGACACGTCATCAGTGATGTTCTTGGGATCAGTGGGCGTTTTGGGCGTTTCAGTGCCATACTACCTCCCCAGGAAACCCAGCAGGGGTTGATCGGGCCCCTACTTGTATCCAGTTGGCACAAAACTACTTCCATGCCACTAGTGATCTCTTTCTGAGCCACAGCCAACATGAAGCTTTCTCTGTCACATTGGTGACATTGCTGATAGCTCTTTGTTTTCCCTTCACCCTTGATACCCAGGACACTGAATACTCCAGCCAGGGAGTGGGCTACAAAACCACTTGTACCTGACTTTGACAGGGAGACACCTGGCATTCCACACTGCTTGTCTGCACAGGCTGAGGAGATCCTCATACTTGGAGAACTTCTGTACAAAAGGTCTCTCCATGGCACAGTCAGCTCAATTAGGACGACTTGGTATTTGGTCTTTATGACCAGATCGGATTGTAAAGTGGCACGTGCAGCGTGTTTTCAGGAACTGTTGTTTGTCCAGGTCCGCAGCCAGTCTCCAGTCCCCAGCTGAAAAAGGGCTGCAGCCAGTTTCCAGTCCCCAGCTGAAGAAAGTGCTATGGCCTGTGACCAAAACTTCCTTAGCTAAACTTGATGCTAGTGGGTGTGTCCACTGCCTTCTTTTCATAACTTGGAGATATATCTCCACCTCATCTTGTCTCTAACTATACTCACTGCATGGAAGTTGATCATAGTTCCCACATGGGTCTGATGGCTTCTGGCTGTATTTGCCTCAAAATAGTAGACACGGGCCTTTGACTGCCTGTGGTGACCTCTGCAGTGGTACACAGCCAGGTCCACTTGTGTCAGGCTGATGCATTTAAATTGACTCGATTAACCACAGCTAGTGTAAGAACATTCAGCAAATGCTATTGTTGATAACAAAATCAGGCTTAACATATAATATAATATTGTGCATGCACTGAATGAAAAGCATTCAGGAAGTGTGCATAACAATAATAAACACACATTCAAGAAAACTGCACACTGACCACAAAGTAAAGCCATTTTTCCACTTCTGGGTGGTAGAGATTAATTGCAGGTTTGCAGGTGAAAAGCATTATCACCCGCAGGCTGTTCCCTACCTTGTAGCTGCATAATGACTGCTCTGGCAAACGTCCAGCCACACAAGACTGTGAAACGTGACTCGCCTAACACTTGTTCTCAGCCTTAGTTTGTCTTTGGGTTTCTTTCTCAGACAGTGGTTCTGCTTCTCTGCCTTTGTCATCTCAACCATTATATCATCCTCTCTGTCTGTCTGGTTTTTGTCAGATATTGTCTTCACGTAGACCTGTCTGGCTCGGTCTCTTCTGTGGTATGTGGAGCCTCTGCTGGGTCTCTGTTACACTGTATAAGGACTCTGCTGAAACAAAATTCTTGTATGGAAAAAAGTAGTTTCTCCCAAGTTCTGCTTGTTTAAGCTGTACTCACTAGAATCTATGTAACTCTTGAATAATGTATGCTCATGAAGTGGAGTCATACAGCTCAGGGACATTTTTTATTCAAATTAAAGCATTTTCAGCTTTAGCAGATGCATCTTCCCTTTAGTTTGGACTTCAAGTCTGCATCTTATTGGCTTTTTTTTAATCAATGGTGTGCCTCTAAAATGTTTTTATTCACTTTCAACCACAACTTGTAACTGCGACATCCACATATACTGTATATTCTGAAACATTTTTATAATTGTCATCATTTCTATGAGCTCTTTGGCCCTTAAAACCACAAAAAGTGCGTGCCTCTTCCTGTTAATGCTCCAACAATCTGTCCAGCTTCAGAGCAACACATGAAGTTTGTCTACATTGGAGGAGTGCACAGTTGGCTGTTGGTGCATGTGAACGTCTGCATGGCTGACATTGCCCATGTGTTTCTGGCTTTGTTCACAGGATTCAGTCTGACTTGTTTCTAAAATGTAACTGAGAAGCGGCTGCATAGGCTGGCATGCTAGCAACTTTCTGAGGCTAATGCTCGTGGACAAAAAAGCAAGCAGAAAAAGAGAAATTATAAAATGGATTAAACAGGAGGTCAGATTTAGTTTTTGATCCTTAGCAGTTGTGGTGACGTTCTTTTTTTTATTTTACAGATTAAGATTCTTCATTGGTCTTTTTTGTCATCTCCTAAAGGAGATATTTGCACATAATAAAAATCCTGAAATAATTTCACATGGGGCATTTTCATTCCAAGTTAAACATGGACTTGCCTTACCCTATTTTCTTGTCTTCTTTCCCACCCTGATGAAGTCTGAAGGCCAAAAACTGAATAAATGTATGTGACAAATAAAAGTTGGATGCACTGGAGAAGAGTTGATGTTGATGGTTTAAGTTGCCATAACTTACCCCCAACTGACCTTTCACATAAGGGAGTCCTATGATGCTTCATTTTGTTATGACAGATTCCAACACAGTGCACATAATGTAATCTGTAGACTGTAGTAGATTTGGGCAAAATATGTGAATAAATTGATGATGGTGGTGGTTGTAAGAGTATTCATTGAACATTTTAGCACATTTTGCAGTGAAATTGGGTCACTGGATCCAAGCAGCTGCCATCCCCTGCAAAGATACAAGCTACAAACACAGAGAACTATAAGAGGTGTGTTTGATAGTCACAAGTCTATATTTTTGTGGAAGTATTCCTTTAGGTTTCCCTCCCTCTTTCCTTGCTAAGACACCAGTAGGGGAGTTTCAGGATTGAAAAAGGGGGCTAACCATGGCCCCAAAACCTGCTTGGGCCAGCCCCAGCTTGTTTCTTGATATTGAATTGACCTGTCACAGGGTAACCTTAGATGATCCTTTGGAAGTCGGTTCTAGTCCTCTCTGATAATTATGCCAGCTGACAGCTGTGACACTTGTGAGAGTTACCTCAGAATACTTTCCGGTGCTGAGATTTCTGAGCAGCTGAATCCTCCTTTCACCAGGATCTTAGAAGGACAGCGTCACATACATCTGTAAAGACAGGTCATGGCTGTGATCCGTTGCTCAATTTCTCCATCATCATCCTCTGTTGACCAAATTTAGTTAGATTTTTTATTTTTCCAAATCACTGGTCTAGGTACAGCATTTCACCACAGTCGGAGCTGAACTGATTCTACTCAAGTGATATAAATTACATGTTTCTTTTTTAGCCAGTGGGGAAGTACAACAAGAAAACAAGCTGTAACCACACTTCTGTGTTAACACCGTAGGTGCTAACAGTCACTCATTTACACATCAACAGATACAGAGCAATGCTGGCATTCATTTGGAGTCATATGTCTGATCACATAGCGTGAATG